GAGAGGAAGCTAGCTCCGAGGTTAGCATAGACTTATTAGAAAACCGGGGTCATTTCTAAGAAACCCAGGCAATGGGCTCCTGGGGCACCTCTCCACCAGGCAGTTCTGAGTGGAAAGGGGTGGGCCCCTGCTTTGCGCCTGTGCTGAGGACTGGTTCCTGACTACAACTTAGGTTCTGAGAAGTGCTGGGTCAGAAGTGAGGAGCTCCTTCCATTTTTAGGAAATAGTACATGCTCAGGCGATAAGCAAGTTTTTGTTTCGTTTTAAATTCCAGGTGCGTAAAATCTCTTTGGAATGTAGTGAACAGGGGCTGCATTCAAATTTAGACATTATTAGATACCAAAACCTTTACTGATAATGAAGTTCTGGGGATGCAAAAAGTTTTATTTATAGAGTAAGTGAAGGAACAGGATCACAAGGTGGGCAGAATGGGTGAGCATCAGAAATGAACCACAAGGCACTGTCCTGGATCTGTCACCCATTTCTCCTCAGTGAGCCTCGGAGCTGGCTGTTTACTGAGTTTTCACACTCTGGAGAAACACAAACAACCCAGCCCTCTCCTAAAAGACCGGAGCCCCTTATTGTTGTTTATAGAGATTTTTGGATTTTTATCCAAGCGGCTTGCACGGTGTATCGGGGACACTAGTGCTTACATGTATCCTTCTTAAAATAGTATTAACTGGGAAGTTGTGTGGGAGGGAAAAACTTCATCCAATATAGAACGTACCACCTCTAAAAACAACTACTCTCCTTCTTTTTTCATCTACTTTACAGGTTTTTCTTTTCTCCAGCAATTATTCGTTACAACCACCGAAAGCATCCATCCCCAAGGTACCACCACCACAACGTTCGCATTACACAGTGTCAGGGGGACACAAACACCCTTTCTTTAATCTAAAGTGTCTCCCCAAACACCTACTTCCTCTACATTCATCGCGCAAGTGTCTATACCCCGATGGAAAAGAAAACGTTCTGAGTCACTGGAGATGGGGTTATTTTGTTTTGCTTTTAAGGTTAATTACGGTCCTGGGAGGGATAAAAGCCCCGCTCATATCTGCCCTGTATCCCTGGGAAATCCTTCATTGACTATTTTTATGAAAATGGCACTTCATCAGGACTCTCCAGGCCACGGAGACCCAGGTGACCGACCCGGGAGACGCTTGCCTATTAAACATTTACAGCGTGCGACCATTTAACCGTTTGCATCTGGCGCCCACTCTCCTAGACCCAGGCTCTTGCGGAGCATCGCAGCGTCGCCGTCCCTCCAAGCACCCTCGCCATCTCCTGAGACCCAGTCCTAGAACCCAAGGGCACTTCAAAGAAAGGGCGCGCGGGGAGGGGTGGGTGGGGGACAGTCAAATGTTCTTTCCCGATTTATTTCTTAGAAGTCCCACATGTTTATATTATATATGGTGAACCCCCAACACAGGCAGATGGGAAAATCTCTTGCAATCTGTCCAGTTTAAGTTCCCAGGCACGGCTAAGAGTTCATGAATTGGGAGTTTAAAAATAAATCATTTAACACAACCAGCACGGGTGCCTTTATTTTGGGGACTGAACCGTGTCGTCCGCCAGGTTGCCTCTCTTCCCTATCCTTGGTTGAATTCCGTGACTTTTCCCGAACTCATCAAACCCTGGCTTGCCTCGCCTCGTTTCTCTCCGCGTCCCTCCAGGAGAAGGGGAACCGAGAAGTAACAGCCACCGAGGAACGAAGCGGGGATTCCCGCCCAGGACCAAACCTCCTCCCGCGACGCAGAGCCCGGTGCTGACCCGGGTGCTGCTTACCTGCCGCGTGGCAGCGTCTTCAGAATCGGGGCGCCCATGGCTTTGCGGGCCTCCGGCGTCCGCGCTGGGACACGCGAGTGGGTCAGTGCCTCCCGGAGCCCTCCGCGCTGCTGCAGCCGGGCCGCGGTCATTGGGCCGGTGCGTCACGTGGGCGGGCAACGGGCGAGCTCCCAGTCCCGGGTAACCCTTTACCTGTGCCCGGCCGGCAGCGCAGGCTGCAGGGACAAGGGGTCGACCTGTGATCCAGGCTTGAGTGAGGGGTCGACGAAGCAACCCGCATTAGCTGCCAGATCGAGTGCGCATTGCTTGTCGCCTGCCTAATGGCTAGACAAACAGCCCAGACGCCGCTGCGACGGTCGTTCCCAGGGGCTACCCGCTTGCCTGCGTCCTAAAGGCTATCCAGGGAGGAGTGGAGGAACCCCAATTCCAGATCCCTTCCCTTGGGATATCAGGTTGTGTGACGCTCCATCAAACGCGAGGAGCTTTACCTGTGATGGGTGGAGAATCGGTGGCTTAATCCTGAAATTCGGTTTAAGTTTTGGGTCTTCTTTCCACCTGGCCCAGAGGTTGTGGAGTTTGCCAGAAAAATGAGTTGAGCAACTGCGCCATCTAGCTTACTCGATAAAACAGAATGCTGGAGAAGGACCTGGGCAGACTCCCCAAAGACCCAAGACCCTTGGTTTCTCAGTGTTTGCATTCGAGATGCCCGCTGCATTCACAGGCAATTTCTACTCTCCGTGAGAGAACATTTAATGGTTTTTTTTCTTTCGGCCCATTTCCGTACTAAAATAGTTGTGCACTTTTAAATGGTAGATGGATGAGGAAATTTATAAATGTTATTTATTTGATTTAAAGAAAAATATCCTTGTGTCAGTAAGTGACTCTCAGGTTAAATTTCCAATCTTGTCAGAAATTTTGATGGGATACTGGTCCACTTATAAATGTATTAGACTATTCTAATAAAAACTTTGGAATTTGTCTTGAGTTTTTGAGTCAGTGGGGAAAAACTTTGAGATTCATCTCAGCCAGAAAGAGATGAGGATAGGGAACTTGATAAAGTCTTTAGTTTTCTTTAAACGTTGGATTTTGAGGTTTTGAAAGTATTTATTGTTGAGAACTACATACAAGGCTTCATCTAATTATAGTATACAATGCAGAGGATTTCTGAGACTGCCATGTTTAAATATATCCTTTTTTGTTGCTGTGTATAGGAATTCTCAGACCAGTCTCTCTCTCTCTCTCTCTCTCTCTCTCTCTCTCTCTCTCTCTGTGTGTGTGTGTGTGTGTAAAACGGTATCTCAGAAGGTTCTCTTAAGTCTTTGTAATTCACCTGGGAACTTATGAGGGGGTTCTAGTCCTTGACAACCATCTTTCCATGTTCCAGCCACAAGAAGTTGTGTGTCCTTTCACATGTATGCAAGAAACTTATTTTCTCCCTGTTTATATATATATATATATATATATATATATATTTATTACATATACAGTGTTCTGCTTGCATGTATACTTGCAGGCCAGAAGAGGGCGCCAGATCTCATTACAGATGGCTGTGAGCCACCATGTGGTTGCTGGGAATTGAACTCAGGACCTCTGGAACAACAGCCAGTGCTCTTAACCTCTGAGCCATCTCTCCAGCCCATCCCTGTTTTTTTTTGTTGTTGTTGTTGTTGAGTCTGAAATTCTAACAGGCAAGAGCTATTTTTATTTACCGTTCTTGATGAAATTTGTGATTAGGTAAATATTTGCTGATGGAATTCATCAACTATCTCCGTCTACTGGAGAAAAGGAAAAAAAAAAACCCACAAAACAAACTGAGGCATTTCTGGTAACTTCCAGTGACCTTTAACAAACTAACTGAATCTCATACCGGCAAATTAGTAAATATCTTAGAAGTTACTGTCAAGTGACTACTGGGTATCGAGTTCTTTATTTTAATGTGCTTTGAAAAAGTTAACAAAGATGTGGGTGATCCACTGGAGTCACATCCACAGTCCTTTATGTGTAAACACATATATAATATAATATATATTATGTAATATATAATATATTACTACTCCTATAAATGTGAGGTGTAGATGACATGGCTTTGTGCCTGGAAACTCCCGGAAGAGTCCTAGTGTATCTTTGGTAAATCTGAATAATTACTGGTAACTGAGGTCTTCTACCTCTGGCCAACCTCGGAGGTGAAAAACTAAACAGCACTCAAACCTAAGTAGCTCATCTTTTATTCATACAAACGATACATACACAAGACTGTATATTGTTTGAACACTGAAATAATTTTCTAGTGTAACAACTCTGTAACAAAATTTGACTAAATGTAACATTTATGAAAATATAAATCTCTGATTGGGTAGTTCATCCCAACGATACAAAGTTTACATAAAAACATTCAATATGAGCTATCAGTTGCAAACATGTTAGGAAAAAAAATCATTCAGGCCACTTGATATACTCTATTGACTTTTACACAGAACACTCACACACTACATTTAATCCATCTAGGCATTTAATTCTTCGAAATGTATGGCATGGAGGGTCAACCGATAATGGCAGGAATAAGAATGTGTTGACTGAGGAGCTAATAGTATGGACTCCAGATGATGGGTATATGGATCTTAGCCCTCCCTGGGCTTCCACCTACTGACTGGTAGCTACGCTAGGAGGAACACACTGAAGCAAGTGTTTTCCACATGGGTAGACTGTTGATGTCCGAGTGACGCCTTCAAACGCTTGCATGTTAAATCCTTTCACCGGGGGGAAAAGCAATTGACTTGGTTTCTCAATGGGTTTAGGTAATTTTCGTTTTCCTGTTGCGTCGGCAATCGATAGGTCACAGCTGTGACATGCTTCTCCTATTACTCCCAGAATCGCCACCAGGCTTAAAGGCTGTAGCAGAACCCATTACCTCCTTTATGTTGCAGTCCACAGAAACAATTCACTGGTGAGGTGAAGGGTCAGGCTACAGGTGCATGATGAGTTCGCAGCAGAGCTGGGACGAAAATGAGCTGGTTCCTTGTTCGCTGTTCTGATTTAAGCAGCTTCCACTTTCAAAGAAAAACAAACCAGCCACTGCTGGTGACTCCCTTCAAAGTTCTTCTACAACATGCCATGTGGAGGACATGGAAGGAAGAACATCACTTTCACTTTCTGAGACACATTTTCCTTCAGATTGGTAAAGTTGTTTTTCTTTTCTTTTCTTTTTTTTTTTTAATATACCATTTCAGAGTTTCTGCTTTGAAATGGCAAGACTAGAAAAGTCCTCAGGTCTGGAAGTGGAGCGGATAAAGAAGCATACATACAGTGTGTAGAAGTAAGAAAGTGATTACAAACAGCGCTGATAAGAACCTTTGGACACCCTTACGATGTACAGACTGTTTTAGCACAGAGACAGGCATATTCAGTGTATCGCAGAGTACTTGGTCACGTCACACAGGAGAGGATGAATGAGAGTAAGGCAATGTCATCAGTGGTTCAGAAATGGCGTGTTTCAAAAGCTCGCTTTCTATGAAGAGATACTGCAGGGGTCTGGGAAGTAACTTGGGTTTCCCAACAGCCGACTGAAGAGCACAGACTCTTGCCAGTACAATGAAAGGAAGGAGCAGTGTTTCAGCCAAGTTTGTGATGCCCTTTCTGTAATTCTTTACGCTCAGCACAAAGACGCATCTCAAGAAAAGGTGTGAAAAGATTGCAGTTTCTTATCAAGTGAGTTCTCTTGCAATCCAAGACAGAAACAGTTTAAAAATGATATATTCCATTACACAGAAACCTGGGCATGCAGTCGTTGTGAGTGTGTTTTAGTAAAGACTGACTCCCCATGTTCAATAGCCCTATAATAGTGGTAGTTAGATATTGTCCCAGTCTGTTTGCCATCTCACATTTTTATGTGGCGTCTTGGGAAACTGGAACACATCTGGACGTCTTTCTTACACATGTTTGCACCGTTAGACCTCTTGTGTGCAGACTAGGGTTACACAGTTGTCAGGAGTGAGACACGTAAAGAGAGATTAAGGCCGCAGTTTGCTATGACACCACCATGCAGGGCCAGAGAGCTCCCTGCTCTCATGACTCCAACTGGCTTCGGTGGAACTGATTCCAGTCCAACAGCTCTACCTACAGATCTAGTTTCTCTCCTCTGCATCAGTGTAGTGAATTGTGCTAATTCTTGTTACACAGCAAATTTAAAAGACTTGATTCTCTCTCTTCTAGGCGAAATGGCCATTTACTATCACATAGAGAAGTTCTCTATTTGCCTAATACATCTGGACTGAAAGATGGCACCCGAGTTGAGTCTCATTGTTCTGTTCTTCTCATGAGGGTATTGGTAATTGAGAGTTTCAGATCTTCCCTGCTTTTAAGAAATAAGCAGCTTATCATTTATGATGCAGAAGACGCACTTTGCTTTTTTTTTTCTATTGTATGTGGATTATGTATTTCACTTGAACAGGATACGCATCACATCAGTTATCTGGCGTATAACTGTGGCCTCGGGATTCTAGGGCAGCACACACCCGGTCATAACACGAGTTGTGTTTCTTGGAGGGTGTTGCCTCGTTGGACTCTGAGGAGTCACTCACCGTGATAGGGCTGTCTCTTGCAAAGACCTCAGTGGACTCTCTCCAGAGGCAGTCCACAGACAGTTTGAAGGAGTAGCTGCTCGACTTTGGCCTGGATGTCTGTGTTGCATTGTTGAAAATCTGCCTGCTGTTGGAGGTGGCAATTTTGATTTTCAGCGCAGCATCTACGCGGTCCACAACTGTGTATATTCCTATACTCCCGTCGTCAAAGCCGACAATGATGTTCAGGTGTCTCTGGGAGAGTGCCAGGAAAGTTGGCGTTTTGTAAAGGGAGCAAGCACCGATGTTTTTGCCATCAGCCAGTCTCATTACGATTAAGCTAGATACTGCATCATTTTCCTCCTCCTCCTCTTCCCCGTTCCGGAAACAAATATATACCAGGTAGCGACCATCTCGAGAGAGTTTCTGCCTCCAGATGACCCCAGAGGCGTGAACCACCCTCAATTTTCCACTGTGTAAATCTAGCACATTGATATTCTCATCTCCCCGGGATATGATGCCTAGCTTCCCATTGGGAGAAATTTCAAAATCCTCCAGGTTTTTCAAGAAGTTGCTTGGAAGCTGCACACGCCGGCAGATCACTTCCTCGGTCAGACTCCAGATGTTTACCGTCTCAGCGGATGTGATAAACACGACAATGTCAGGGCAGTCGGGGATCAACTTAAAATTCACGATGGTGATCCCATCCTCGCAGCAAAATTTCTTGGTGATGCTCCCTGTCCAAAGACTGACTGCCAGCACTTTGCTTTTCGTCATTCCTACCACGAAGGTGTTTGCAGAGGTGATAAAGGCGTTTTGCAACGTGGTCAAGATGTTGCAGACCCTGTGGCCCGTGGCCAGTCTCCAAACCCTGGAGGCATTTTCCTCACACAGAGAGACCACAAACTGGTCATTATGCGTGATCAGAAGCTGAGATATCCTCTGCCCGTTGATTCGGAAGAGGTTTTCCCCGCTGCTGGTATGCCAGACGTATTGGCTGCTTTTGTCGTCCGATGTCACCATTATGTCTCCAGTGGATGTTAATACACAGTGTTCAACTATCCCTTCATGCTTAAATACTGCTTCAATGAACCCACTGCTGAAGTTCCACTTATGGACGCAGTCCGAGCCATCGAGAGAGTAGATGATTTCCCCTCTGGTTGGCAACACCAGACTCTGGATGGGCTTTCCAGTTTTATCTATGTTGGACATAGCTGTGATTATGTCTATATCCCAAATGGAAAGAACACCATTGGTTGACAAGGACAGCAGCATATTGTGGTGACTAGATTTTACCAACTTAACTATGGTACCTGAGATTTCCTGCAGGCTTGCCATGCACTGGCCTGTGTCCCGCCTCCAGAAGAACACTGCTGGCGTACTCTCCATGGTGGCAATGATGCAGTCTCCATTTTTGGAGAGCACGGCGGATATAAATCGCTCGTTGTGTCTGGCCCTGAACTTCTCAGCTACCTTCCACATGCCAGTGTCCAAGAGTTCAATGCTCAGAGCTTTGCAGATGAGAATTGCACTCTGGTCTTCCGAAAGTTCGATGCTCACCACCTCGCTGTCTTCTTTTCGGCAGTCAAAGTCTTCCGTCAGCTGGGGGTTGGATATGTCCTCTGTATTCCAGACAGAGAGGCTTCCCTCACTGTCCACCATGACCATCTCTTGAGCTGTGTCCAAGATGAGGAGAAACTTTACAAAGCCACCTGAAAATTCTGACGTCACGGTGCATAACTTTTCTCCACTCCCTAAGTGGAAAATGGTGGTATTGTTGAGGTACTGGCCACAGAAAGCGTACACCCCATCCAGAGAGCACTGGACACAGGTCACTTCATACCAGCAGTGGAACTGGTAAAGGGGCCATCCGTAGAGCAGATCGATGACGGTGACATCTTTGCTGGCCTCCAGCCACGCGAGGGCATGCTTGACAGAGAGTGTGAATCCGTTGATGTAGGTGGAGCCACTCCCGTGCTTGGTCCCTTTGATTTCCACCTCAGACAGAAGACAGGAATTGACGTTGTCATAAATCAGCAAGGTGTTATTTGTCGTAGCAACCACGAGGTACTTCTCGTCACCGGTGAGCTTCATGCCCAAGATGACAGACTGGGCTGTGGTGATTTGCCTGAGTAGCTGGCGAGTTTCTACATCCCATGTGCTGATGGATCCATTTTCTAACGCTGTGAGAACCGTGCTGGGGTTACAGGTGGGCAGAATCTCTGTGACGTGTAGGTGACTGGCTGCTAAGGGGAGACGCTCGGGGCTGTATGTCACGTCCATGGAGGAATGAAGAGGAACAATGGAGCAGTATTTGGGTCCATCTTTGTCACATTCTAAAAGAAGATGTCTAAGCTTGGGTAGGGAACTCACCACAGGCAGCAGCCTTTGCTGAAGCTCCGCCGAAAGGGAGCCTGGGAAGGTGATGACCTTATTTCTGATGCCACGGAGCGTGCTGGCGAGGAACTTCAGCTCTTTCTCTTGCGAGTAGTTGTAGGCCAGCTCTATGTCCGCAAGCACTTTGTCAAACTGGCCAATCTTGATCATGGTGTAAAGCCAACTGAAGTTCATAATGATTCCATAAAGCAGGTCATCGGTTTTCCCACACCTTGTCAGATGATACAGGAGCTCAGACATTTTCCGGTGATTGACGAAAAAGATGTCAGGCTCTAGCGGGTTACACTGGAAAACCCAGGGCTGCTCCGGGGCCTGCCTGTCAAAGGATGCTTGCTCCATGAAGTGTTTTTCTTCCTCCAGCAGGCTTCTGTTCTCTAAGTCGAGGCAGCCGTTCACATAGGGGTCTTCCAGGCAGAACGCTTTCCTCCTGCCTCCCGACCACACGCCTAGGAAGTAATCAGCCAGGATCGTGTGCATCTCACGAAGGTTTCTGTCCTCCTGCAGATACAGCTTCTGAGCTATGAGCTGCAGGTGTCTGTTGGCCCAGACTAAGAGTGTGACATTCTTCACGTGCCTCTCTATCAAGTATCCATTGAGACCCCCCTTGAGCCTTGCGATGTACAGGTAAGGTACTCTCAGGGGATTGCTGGGTCTGGAGTTCTCATTGAGTTCATTCATAACGCTGTTGTCTAGAGCTAACACATCCTCCAGCTCCATTTCGCTCAAACCCATTTTGGCCATGGTGATGTAACCCAGAGCTCTGGAGACCAGCTTTTGACCACACTTCTTCTCCAAGGACCAGAATAACTGCTCTATACTTTCATGGACAGTCACACAGAGGGAGGATTCATCTACATCCTTGTGAGATCGCCAATGTCTCACCTCCCTGAAAGTCAGGTTCACGAACATAGGCAGAGTGCACTTGGAGAATGCGTTGTTGACATAAATCTGCTGGCCTGAGGTGACCTTCCTTTTGACCCTCAACAGCTGGTGTTTGAGGACCTGGCTGCACATCTTTCTGTCCCGGGGAACCAGCTCAATGTAGTTGTCTTCTTCATGGATAAGGCACCTTAGTTTCTGCAGGATTCCATGTTTATTGGGCAGGGTGGAGAGGACGATCCGCACGAACCGGGGAAGGTGAGCAGGTAGCCACCAGAGCTTCCTCGCGTCGTCGCTCTCTGAGAGCTGCTCTAGGGCATCAAATATTATCACCAGAGGTCTCTGCAGTGAGGACTCATTCAACAGGTTGATAAATAAGTCACGGAGGTCATGGATCTTCTTAGGATAGTTTTGAACCAGACACCTGTAGTTGACTGCCAGCTGTTCACAAACACTTAGAAGGAGTGTCCTCAGATCAATACTCATGTCTGTTGTCCCGAGAAATCTCACGATGACAACCGGGTCAGCGTCTGGCCCTGTGTCTTCATGTAGCCAGCCATAAGCCTAAAACATATAAGCAAAGTTTAGAATAGGGCTGTGCCCTTACACCACAGTAATCAAAGTGGATCCCCCCTAGAGCTCAGACTAAAAGCAGCCCTGATCCAAGAAAGGCACACACCACCTGGGAAGGCCAAATGCTGCTACAAAGCTCATGTGCAGATCTGCAGGTGGGACTCACAGGCAGTAAAATCGTAATTCTTATCCGTAAGGAAATGTTTGCTCGAATTCTAATAGCTACAGAGTATTTAATAATCATGAATCTGGATACACCGTCTGATCATTTTTCCATCTAAATCCCTAACTTTGAATAGCTGTTAGCACACAGTATATACTTAGTGTTTGTTTTAATGGCTGACTTAAGTAATGATTTATAAATTACATTGAGTAAATGTTTTCATTAATTGAGAAAATATGATTCCATACGTGGATGACCAATTTCTAGTTAATTACAGTGTAATAAAATATTGACCATCAATATATTATGCTAAATAGAATCTTTTGTCACTGATGGGTGCTTATCATAAAAGTCTGTACAATTTGAGACTAGTGAGGTGGCTCACAGTTAAGAGTGCCTGCTCTTAATATCATATTAGCATCCATAGCAATGGGCTCACAACCACCTGTAACTTCAGCTCCAGGAGTCTGACACTCTTTTTTGGCCTATGAGGGTACTTGTGCTCAAGTTCATATGCCCCCACCCCCCACAGACTCATACACAATACACATAATTAAAAATAAAAATAAATCTTTACAAACATCCACAGAATTCTGGTTCTATGAGGTTAGTTAATGACTGTGCTTTCTGGTGTTCCACTATGTAGACAGGTAGCCGTTGCTGCACTTGTTGTCTCTGAAGGGCATGAGGATGAACAGAGATAATTTATCGGTCTATAATTTTATAGACAGAGATTTAATAGGAGGGGAAACTGAAGCTAAGGCTAAATCACTGAGTTGCTTCACGTTGAATAGTCATTAGAAGCACAATCAAAGTAGAAGCCCCTTCGGCTTCCATCCTATAGGCTCTCCTATCTTCTCCTCTCTCCCTCCCCTCCTTCCTTCTAGGGCTGGGGAGAAAAGTATATAGAGACCACAGACATTTAGTATTTTTTTGTGGCTGGAAAGTCAAAGCTGAGAAGGAATCTGATCAAGTACAAATCATCCCTCCAGACAGCAGTTTTAGAGACATAAAGCTTTTCAGCCATTCTATTATCACGAAGACTTTTTAGGAAAAAGGGACATTAGTCTATAAATTCTATGACTTATTATAGATGTATTTTTCCTATAAATGAGGAAACTTTAGATCTTTGAGATGGTTCAGATTAAGAAAAGAGCAAAATTTCAGATCCATGGATGCCTGTTTGGTAAGTAGCATAGTATGAGGAGCGTTTGGCTACTTAGTTTTGTTGTTGGAAGCTGGTTTTAGTGAGGACAGAAATGGCACACACCAACTGTCCACTGGTGGCCGATCAGAACCCCAACAGTGTCCGTTTGACCTGACATTGGTTGCTCACTTCCCGAGGCTGCTGTTCATGTGGAGACTACCCTGTAATTATGGTCTGGGCTTGGAAGAGACAAGTATAAGATGCCGGTTGGAAACAGGGGCACAAGACAGTGACAGTTGTTGCTGACAGGCAGCTCGTCACTCCACCGAGAGAGACAGGTGGTGAGAAGGAAAGCAGAACCCTGCACTGTGAGTCTCCAGATACACACAATGGAACCAGGTCCCCGGAAGGCCGAGAGCCCAGCTGTCACTCATGGTCACTGCATGATCACTGCATGAGTAGAACACTGCAGAGCAGAGCTGCTTCTCTGCACGGGCACGCCAGCCTGCCTCATACAATCTGCGACCTCTCATGGCCATGCAGGCACAGCACATGAACCTTCAACTCAGCCAGTTCAAGCGTAGTTGTTCCTTCTCTTTGTCCTTACACAGGAAGAAAGCCCCCCGTCAGACGTCTTAGGTGCCTCTCACAGGGCCATCGGTGTGATTGTGAGAAATAAGCCTGAAGTTGGAAGATTACCCACATGAACTCGTCAAACCAGAGCTTGAAGTCTCTCAACTTAATCAGATAGGACATGGCACCTAAGGTCAGCTCTCGACCTCACCTGGCACTCAACTAAGAAATGGTTGCATCTTCTAGCAAAAGAATGAAGGCAACTGAACGTGCTCCCACTAAAGGATGGCCAGTTAGGGTAAGGATTATATACCCGATGCTCACCTGGAAACTTGATTTGGCACCAAATCTCCACAACCGGTGCGAAGCAGACAACCTGTGTTTGTATTCAGGATGATCAATTTGATATCGTGTGGCACCTGACAGACTACAGGGATATTCCAAGAGTTAGAGAAGGCTCTGCTTGTCAGTGTACAGAAGAATGATGTGACGGTTCCCAGTGTTCATGAGACTTCTAGGAGCTGTTCCTCTTTAATGCCAAGTGTAATGGAAATGAAAATGGAGATATTACATTTTAAGATGACATCACAGATCCTCACATAGGGAGAGAAAGGGGAATTTGGAAGTCTCTTTAGTGACAACACACATTTAGTCTACTAAAAGGGCTGGGGTGGAGGGCTCAAGAAAAAGTTGAGGATGAAGTTGTCATGGCTCTGATCTCTCATCCCATCACCCTCAGAGGTGAAGGTCAAAGATGCTCGTTCTTCACCGCTATCCAGAGAAAGGGACTTCAGTAGAGGCTTCCAAGTACCCTATGAAGTCAGTGGACATGGTCATCTGGGGCCTGGTGACATCTGAGAGACATGAGGCTATGTGACAGGCTAGCTAACAACTCTGACAGAGAAGTGAAACAGAGCCATTATTCGGGGCTGGATCTGTGAGTCGAGAGTTCTGAGGGCCAAAGAGTACCAGGGTATTTCTCATGAGCCCAACGTGAAGCCCTGAGAAGTGGGAGGTGGTAAGACTGGATACTTTCCTCATCCCAGGCCTTGCCTTGACCTCTTTGCTGGGTCGCGGAGAGGGTCTTACCTAAAGACTCTGGAAGTTTGTTATCGGAAGTCTAGGAAGTGATAAAGCAATAAGCAAGAGAAGGATGCGCTGCCCTGCTCTTAGCTGCAGTGTGAGGTGATCAGTGGGCCCGGGGTTGGGGTGCAGGAGGAGAAGAAGCTTCAGGAGACGATGGGCAGGACGAGAACAGACGGCAGGCGGCTTTTCACGCTTATTCAGAGAAAACTTCAGCGCTCACTTACAGCAGCATGGGGGTCATGTAGGAACTCCCCAGGTTCTTACCTTCCTATATCCACTACACTACAGTTCAGTAGGGATTATAAATGTGGTTGAAGCGAAGAAAGGAGGCAGAAAAAGTGCTAGGTCTACAAAGACACCTGTGTTCCCATGCCCACAGTGAGGGTCTTGACTGTGGCAGGCCTCAGATGAAGGAGAAAAATAAGGACCAAAGTGTTGATGAGACTGGATGCCCTTACTGTTGAACTAACACTGACTTAGTGTCTACAGAAATGAGAAGGCTAGTTTTTGCCTGACAGGGATGAGAAGTGTTTTGGAGAATTGGTTCCCCTTTTCATTCAAGTAAGGTAGAAGAGTTGGCATACTGAGTGACAAAAGAAAGTGGTTTTATAGTTATATCCTGTGCATCTTGTTCTCATAGCACAGCTTTTACCAGCAAAAAAAGAAACACAGACATACCCATCCCAAAGGCCTAGTTTTAATTCTGATAGCAAACACGGAAAAAATGAAAGTGGAATTTGATCATTGTTATTTTCCTCCCAACGAATAATATCTCTACAAAAGTAGGGAGGAAAGAGTAGATTGTTTATTTATTTTACCTTTTTTGCTACTTCAGCTAGCAGGAGAGTCTTCCCCGTGCATGGTCCACCATACACAACCAGGGGGTTGATGGGCCCGGTCTTGCTCGGCAGGACGTATTTATGCAAGATGTTTAGCGATTCACATTTGTATTCATAGAAGGAGGCGTATGTTTTACATAGTGAAGAGTGCTGAAGAATTTCATCATACAGCGTATCAGTCTCTGTGTCGAAATTCTGCTGCACTGTGGCCTGAATTATGTCAATCATGTCCTCATAAAATTGCTTACCAAGCCCTTCTATGTAATGATTCTCTATCTCCTGGGAATAGCCCAGTTTCATGTCACAGTGAGTGACAGATGTGTATACTCTCAGGTTGGAGGACGCAACGATGGTAGGAATAAATTCATCCCGGAGTTTTATCAGCTTCTCCTGAGCTTCCGGGTCACGAATGATTCTGGGCTCCGTTCCAGTTATGTCCATGTATTTCCCCATCTCTGGGATTTTCACAAAGCGCTCGATGTTTGCGATCTTCCTGATGTAGCACACACACTTCTTCAGGAACGCTGGAGTTTGCTTGCCCAGGGCAAAGTCAAACTCATCCTCGATAGCTGGAAGAAGTTAAGATGAGGATTATTGCCTTGGACAAAGGAGCCATGTGCGTGCCCTAATTCCTAACATGCAGCTGTTAATCACTCTGGGGAGGTTATTTTGCTTATAGTTTGTAGAGATGCAGCCTGTGGAATGATTTCCAAGTTCACGTTAGTCTTTTCCTAAGCAGGTAAGACCCAGAAGAATCGATTTTTCCATTAAATATTTTATTTCCCTCCCAATCGGAAGAAGTTGAACACAGTTTAATAAAGCAAGCATGCTGGGTTCATAGTGATGACTTTACATTTTAAGTTTAATTTCCCTCTCCAACTTTAGCCCTTCTAAATATAGAAACAACAGGGTCCCTGTAGGGCCAGGAAACATGGAGATATTGAGTGAGCTATAACTAGACTCCTGGTTCCTTGTCAGGCCTTCCTTTACAGTATGGTACCATCATTTAGTTTGAGGTGTATTATACCCTAGGTAGATGTGCTGAAATCAAAACAAAAAAGTACATCTTAAAATAAAATATAGCCGTGTTCTGAATATTGATCAATGTTAATGACCCATGCTATAGCTCAGTTCTATGGTCTCAGAAAGGTATAGAAAGTGACCTCGTATAAGACATCATTTCTTCTCTGAGCTAAACCACATGTGGCCTATAGTACAAAGAGGTGCACAGAAATAAGTATGCTTCTTAAGTCCCATTTTCCCTCCCTCCCTCGCTCCCACCTTCAGTCCTCTCTCCCTCCCTTCCATACTTTCTTTCCTCCGGTCCTGGTTAAACTTTCATCAGCTAGAAACAAGCCACAGGTCATCTGGGAAGAGGGCACTTCAATGAAGAAAACGCCTCCTTCCACTCAGCTGGCCTGTAGATAAGTCTGTTGTTATAAAATTTTAGTTGAAGATGGGTTACATTTGTTTATGCTGTGAAACATTTGTTTAGCGATGAAAAGATGTGTTGCATTCTTTTATGTTGCATTTGGTTAACTCCATGAAGTTGTGATTCTTTGTCTGTCTAAAAACACCTGATTGGTCTAGTAAGGAGCTGAATGGCCCATAGCTAGGCAAGAGAAAGGATAGGTGGGGCTGGCAGGCAGGAAGAGTCAATAGGAGAAGAAGTCTGCGAAGAAGAGATCAAGGAGTGAAAGCGGAAGGAGAGGAAAACTCCAGGATCCAAGCACCCAGCTACACAGAGTCGCAGAGTAAGAAGAAAAGAAAGGGGTATGGAAAGGTAAAAGCCCAGGCGTAAAAGATAGATGGGATACTTTAAGAGAAGCTGGCAAAAAACAAGTCAACCTAAGGCTGAGCACTTATAAGTAAGAATAAACCTCTGTGGATTTATTTGGGATCTGGGAGGCAGGCCACCCAAAAGAGTAAAGAGTAAACAAACAAACAAACAAAAACAAAACAAAACAAAAAATCCTCCAGTCTGTGAAGGCATATTCTATTTAACTCTTGATGTGTTAGGACACAGCCCAATGTGGATGGTGCAACTCTTGGGCCAGTAGTTCCTGGGTGGTATAAGAAAGCAGGCTGAGAAAGTCATAATGAGCAAGCCAGGAAGCACCCCTCCATGGCTTCTATATCAGTTCCTGCCTCCAGGCTCCTGCCTTGAGCTCCTCACCCAACTTCCCTCTGTGATGAACCAGGAAGTTTAAGATAAAATAAATCCGTTGCTCCCCAAGTTGCCTTTAGTCATGGTCTTTATCATAGCAATAGAAACCAAACAGAAACACCCCCTTTTCTACTTTCCATCCTCCCTCTGTCTCTCATTTGTTGTGGAATATTTATTTAAGATGTGTTACATTCATTTAAGCTGTGAAATATTGGTTTAATGATGCAAAGATGTATTTCATTCTTTTATATTGCATTTAACTCCATGAAGCTGTATTATTTTGCTTGCCTAAAGCACCTTATTAGTCTAATAAAGAACTGAATGACCAATAGCCAGACAGGGGAGGAATAGATGGGGCTGCCAGGCAGAGAGAATAGAGAAAGAAGAAGCAGAATTAAGGAACAAGAAAAGGAGGAGAGGAGGCCTCCAGGGGCCAGCAATCCAACTACACAACCAGCAATGGAGTAAAAAGTAAAGAAAGGTATATAGAATAAAGAAAGATAAAAGCCTAAAGGCAAAATGTATATGAAATAATTTAATTTATAAAAACTGACTAGAAACAAGCCAAGCTAAGGCCAGACATTCATAAGAAAGAATAAGTCTATTTATTTGGCAGCTGGGCTCCTAAAGATAAAGAACCAAAGAGTTAAAAAAACAAAACAAACAACCCCCCAAACTAATAAAAAATCAAAACCAACTACACTCCTTTTTTCCCTTCCTTCCTTCCTTCCTTCCTTCCTTCCTTCCTTCCTTCCTTCCTTCTTTCCTTCCTTCCTTCCTTCTTTCCTTCCAGAAATCCTTTCTCCTTCTTCATAAACTGACCTTTCTTGAGCAACTGCTATGTGCCATACATCCTGCTGGTTGTGTGCAGTATAGGTTGAGAGGAAGCAGGCGATACTAAGAAAAAGCCAGCAATGCCTGCAATGGTATAAATGAACCTGAACAAATGAGCAGCGTGACACCAAGTGCATTCTCTTGATTTTGGAGGTAATGTACACCTTCATGGTTTAGGGGGAGCTCGTGTTTATAATTCCTGCTGTAGTTTAGATCTGGAATACCCTTAGGTGCTGTGTGTTAAAGGGTTGTTCCCTGGAGTCTGTTATTGAGAGGTGACTGAACTTTGAGGAGGTAGGTGTGGTCCAAGGAAGTTCTCAGGTTGATGGGGTGTGTCTTTGAAGGGTTTTACTGTTTCTCATTTTCATCACTTGCCATGAGGTGAATGGTTTTGCCACAAGCTAGTGCTGTGTGGTGTGTGACCTTACCACAGGCCCCCAAACAACAGAGCATTTAATTGATTGATTGTGGCCTGAAGGCTCCAATAATTTTCTCATCTCAGCATTTGTGATAGAAACAGAAAGCTACACAGTAGAGTTACTGATATTTATATACACATATTCCAAACTTTTATCTCTCCTCCCTGGATGCTGTTTTCACTTTTTGTCTTCGCACTTGCTTAAGTGGACTTCACCAGAATGACTCATAGCTTCAAAAAGCTGTTTGCGTCTGTGTATTCAGTGGTTGAGGGCCAAGTGCCTTTTGAGTTTTAACAAATGGCTTTCGCTCTGTGACTATGAAAGCTTCCTGATACAGTTACCATGTTGGACCATGGTATTGGGAATCTGTGTTTCCAGGTCACAGCATTCAAAATGGTGATCCGAAAGTGCAATTACTATTCCTTTTTCACAATAGCGCCTTATCATGAATTGCAAAAGGAAGTCCTGCTCTGCATATCTGATGACCTTTACCCAACAGTGTTTGTTTTCTCGAAACCATGACTGCCTTATTCTTTCAGGTCCGGTCTTCCCTTCAGCATCTGACAATGAGGCTTCTTCTACCTGTCTGTGGAAGGCTACAAACTGCTCTGTAAAGAGGAGATTGTGTGTGTGTGTTTGTGTGTTTGACTGTGTTCTCCCTAATAGATAACTAAATAAGAAAATGTCTTACTGCTGAATCTCAAGAAGGCATTTCCTCAGCTGAGGCTCCTTCCTCTGAGGACTCTAGCTTGTGTCGAGTGGACACACAAAACCACCCAGTACAAAGCCCCAGATACTGTCTGACAGCATCCTTAACCTGTAAATCAGTGGAAGCTAAGGGCCTGCTTGTGTGTATATTCCCAAAAAGATTCTCCTTGATAGTTGAAAAGATATTTGGTCAATGTGAGTGAGTGAGTGTATGTCTGCATGTGAGTGTGTGCTATTTTAAATATAAAACTGAGTCCTGGCACATTTTCTCCATACCTTCCTCCCCCGCTTCCCATGTCACCTACTGTCTAGTGTAAAGTCCCTCAGATGGCCACATTCAGACCTCTTGTTGTCCTCCCCAAACCTGACTTTCTTGCTGTTCACGAGAGTTCCTAGAATAAAGCCTTGCCACTGTTAAACATTTTATGAAGCTGCTTGATGACTTAGAATGTTGTGATTCAGAGCCAAATTACCTTCGATCACCTTTAGCCTATTTTTCCCTATCTCTGCATTGACTGGACAGTTTTTCAAGTATCAAGGAGAATCTTTTTGGGAATATACACACAAACAGGCCCTTAGCTCCACTGATTTACTGGTTAAGGATGTTGTCAGTCAGCAAATGAGGCTTTGTACTGGATGGTTTGTGTGTCTACTTGACACAAGCTAGAGTCCTCAGAGGAAGGAGTCTCAGTTGAGGAAATGCCTTCTTGAGATCCAGCTGTAAGGCATTTTTCTCATTTAGTGATGAATGGCGGGACCCAACCCATGGTGGGTGGTGCCATCCCTGGTCTGCTGGTCCTGAGGTTCTATAAGAAGGTGTACTGGGCAAGCCAGGGGAAGCAAGTCAGTAAGCGGTGCCCCTCAATTGCCTCTTCATCTTCTTTCTCTGGGATCCTAGCCTGCTTGAGTTCCTCTCCTGACTTCCTTCAGTGACAAACAGCCACACTGAAAAATAAGCCTAACAAACCCTCCCTCAACTTGCCTTGGTCATGGTGTTTCATTGCAGCAATAGAAACCCTAACTAAGACATGCCTATAGCAGGGAATTCCCTGCTGGACTGGAATCTACCTGATGTTTCTACCAATGAATTTGAAAATGCCTTGATTTATTACCTCCTTTTGATCTGTAACTACAAAAGCTTCAGGAAATTGCTACCATGTTATGCAGGGTATGTGGAGTAACCTGAACATGTTCCAAGGCCATGGTCATTCATTTTTGATTCCAGAATAAACAAACCCCTTCTTCCATTGACTGAGAACTGGGCTTGTACACTGATGCCCAGTCCACCCCCTCCGAGGGATTCTAACCAGCTGCTCCCACCACCTGGGATGCTCCTCTTAGACATGATACTGTGAGCTCTGACTCCTTCCATCTTCTATCTCAGACATCAGCTTCTCAGCCCACCCTTTCCACTCCAGGGCCCCAGCATCCCTCCTCTGCTACTTCCTTTCATAACTATGTTTTACTCAAGTTACAGATTATTTAATGTCTATAAAGAACTTGCTCACTTATTACTTGACAATCATTTCTTCTCCTCACTGCGGTTTATTTTCAGGGGAACAGTGACTTTCCTCATCCAAGGCTGTCTCCCCATAACATGCCTCAGCGTTGATCAAGATAGGTCCCCACACACGTGCTGGGAGACTAAGAGGCACGGGAAGGCCCCCCTTCCCACACTGAGAAACAAAGACAGGGTCTTGACTGTTATACCCAGCCACCTCTGAACTTCTTTCAAAATCACATTTGCTAGAGAAGCCGACAAGCAAAGCAAAGGGTTTTCTGAGAGTTAACGCATCTTTCTGGGATGTGGAAACAGTTACCAAACTAACTTTGTTTGGTACCGGATGGGATTAAATTTAAAGGACCCCGAGAGGGAAGCTGCGGATGCTTCCATGTTTCCTGTTTTTGAATGTACTGAAGACGCGTGGAAATTACCTGAGAACAGGTACCTCTTAGCCTGGCTGTGCTTCATTTTACCCTGCTCATGCAGCAGCTTCACGGCAGCTTTAAAGATTGTTTTGATTTCGTCTGATATCTCTTGCCATGGCCTCTCGTTTTCAGGACCGGCGGAAGACTGCGTCTAGGAAACGTTAGAAGTGAGAAGTTAGTCGCGAAATCACACACACACACACACAAAACCAGTGTTTTAAGGGCGAGACTGGATACGCCGGTGCCAGGAGAGCTGGTCTCTCAAGTCCTCGCTTCCTCCTCCTCTGGCCAATAATCCTGGAGTAAGAAATCCTTTTCCTGTTACATGGGAACTCGCCCTGGTTACATGAAGGCAGGACCCAGACAGTGTTTGTGTGCTGGCCTTGCTATGGTTCCTATAGGTTATGTGCCCAGAGTTTGACCCTCATTGCTCCTGGTAATACTGGGAGGTGAGATGTGATAGAAGATGGTTAGGTCCCCGAAAATGCCGTTCTCGGAAGATGTTAGGATCATTCTTACTGGGCTCCAGGTAGCTCTGGAGAGACTGCGTTATTGTAAAAAGGGTCATCCCAGCCTCCGAGTCTCTTTGGCTTCTTGTCTCACCATGTGGTTCCTTCTGCATGAGCTCGCACTGTGATGATGTAGTCAGGAGGGCCCTCATCGGAGCTCAGGAGATGGAGGTGCCCGCCTTGGACTTTCAAAGCCCCAAACTACAAGTTAAAGGAAATTCCTTTTCTTAGAGAGCAGTCAGACTTTTATATTTTCATTATAGTAACAGTAAATGGGAATAAGACAGGTTTTATTGTTTTGCTGTAGCTTTCCTTCTTGTGTTTTGACTTTAAATGTCATAAGAATATAATCTTTATAATGTCCTCTGAAGAGAGAAGAAGAGTTAGGGGATTTGTTGGCCACCATATGTCTTTTATGTATTTTTTTCTACATTGGTCTTTTTTTTTATAATCGGCTAAGAAAGTGGGAGGAGAGTTTAACAAGAAAAAATATTTATGCGGTCTCAGAGCATTTAAAAGTCTCATTCACACATTTATTTCTTCAACAATAATTATGAATGATTTATGCATAAATCGCTTTGGACATTATGAGATTGATTTACATTTCTCTGGAGGGTCAGAGAAATAAATGGAGACAAAGCAAACAATTAATAGTCACATAGCAGCAATTGTCCCCAGTCACCAAGTGAAACAGCTCCTTGGGATTTCACCTTCCATGCTCTCCACATTTGCTCCTGTATCCAACCCTGGGACGTTCTGAGCTCACTCTACTAGTTCTATCTAGAACAGCATTGTTGCTATAGACGTAAGTAAAGGCAGTGTGTATATGAGGAAATCGGTAATGTCGACGTGATTTCCCCAGCACAAAGAAGAGATCAAAAGGACAAACACCAGAATGAAGATCCCTGGATGACCGCTCGCTCTTCTCCTCCTGAAGCTGTCTGGGTACCAGCTATATCACCGCTGCTTGCTTTGGAAGACAGATGGATATCAGTCTTTTTAAAATTCCTCTAAACGTTCAAAGGAACAAGCAGACTTACTGTGTCCTTCTTGGGCCTTTGCTTAGTTTTAAAGACATGTAATATATACAGTTCAAAGCCAAGTTGGACAGGAGAAGATATTGAGGCATAAACCAATTTACTCTATGATTCTACACAAGTCACAAGAACATATACCATTAGAAATGGTAAAGCAAGGACTACAGAGGGAGCCCTGGAGGAATGCTGCTCCCTGGCTTATGCTCAGCTAGCTTTCTTATAGAACCTAGGGTCACTGCCTAGGATGGTGCTGCCTGCAGCGCACCGAGACCCCAGGCATCAACTAGCAACAAAAACAATGCTCCACAGACACACACAGGTCAATTCAAGGGAACCACTTCTTTCTATTGAGACTCCTTCTCTCCAGGTGACGTTAGGTTGTGCCAAGTTGATGATAAGGACTAAGCAGAAGGAGTGGTAAAAAGAGAGTTTGTATTTGCTAAGATAATGGCGGAATCATTTTGAGAATTAATAGGATTAGTGAATTTGACAGATTATAGGCATATATGCCAATTAGAGTAAGTTAGGTCATGCTGCTCTCGTATCCCCCGAGAGAGTTTATAGCTGATAGACTTTCATTAGTATACTTTACGACAGATTTAGCCCAGAGAGAAGAAAAATCAGAGAAGGCGGACTTACTGAGTTCTTGTTGCTTCTCGTCACCTCTAGCCTGGGTCTGAGGTAATAGGCTGCGGGCACACAGTTCTCATCCCGACAGTACCAATCCTCCAGTAACTTTGTCTCTAGTTTGGCCTCAACGGCAGCATCCAAAATCATTTCGAACTCTGAAGCTTCAACTTCCCCCGGGATTCGAATGTTCCCGTATTTTTCACCCAAAAGTCCCTGTGAGCCAACAAGACAGTTCATTTTATACCCCCAGCATGAGGACACTCAGCAAATATCAAGAAACAGAAAGACACCGCATGAGGTCATTTTTTTCCCTTATCATCACAGTGCATATTTGACTTCACAAGTACAATTAGACCCACTATAATTGTGATGTTATTCAATATAGAGGAAATAGTTTGCATAATCTGTTAGACGACAACTTCAAAAGTTTTCCTGCCGATTCTTCAGAGTTCATATAGCAAAACAAAAGCTGTTCTATGCTGATAGTTGTGACAAGGAAGCATGCTGAACCTTACAAAACTTTCAAACACCCGAAACTTCGAATACAGAGATTGCTCTGCCAAGGTTGATGGTGTGACTTTCAGCCCCAGAGCCACACAACCCGAGAGTCCAGAAGGCAGGGCCACTGGGCGTGGTGCTACTACCAGCACTTGTACAATTCAGATGTACACATAAAACGTCGCCCCCATCAGATTGGCAAAAAACTCCACAGAAAAATAAGCAAAAAGCATCCTCTTAGTGCTACACAAAGGCAATAAGTAGGCATACAGTACAAAGCGACAGGTAAAGTAACCCACGGTTTCCCTGAGTTCAAGGACTTGCCCATCAGACTTAGAGTGGTCAACTCAATGGCTCAGTTCCTAATGTTTGCCCTGAAGATCACCTAAGGGACACCCAGAATACTTGTTAAAATGGGGATTCCTAGTCCCTTCTCATGCTTAAAATTCCTGTAGGGGGTCATGGGGGAAATCCAGGAATTTGTATTTTGTTATTCTTTAAAAACAAAACTAGAGTTTATTAAGAAAGGAATAGTGTGGATTTAAGTGTAAGCCCAGGCATTAAGAGAAGGAAGCGGTGCGATGCACACTGGAGCAGGATGGACTTCTCAAGATAACTAGTCCGGAACAAGCATCTTCCTTTCTTTTTTATTATTAATTTCTTAAATTTACTTTTACATCCCAACCACAGTTTCCTCTCCTTCCTCTTCTCCTGTTCCCTCTAGCTCCTCCCTCCATCCCACCTATCCATACTCCTCTGTTTCTGTTCAGAAAGATGCAGGTCTCCCATAGTGTCAACAAAGACTCATGTGTCAAATTGAGGTAGGATTAAGGTTCTCCCCTTATAGTAAGGTTGAGTGAGGCAACCTAGCACGAGGAACACGTTCCCAAAAGCCATCTCATAGGTTAGGGACAGGCCCTGATGCCACTGCTAGGAGTCTCACAAATAGACCAAGCGACACAACCGTCGCACGTATGGAGAGGGCTTAGCTGTCGGTGCAGAGTCTGTGAGCTCCTATGACCCAGGCCAGCTGTCTCTGTGGGTTCCCCTGTCATGACCTTGACCCCCTTGCTCACACAATCTGTCCTCTCTCTCTTCAAGAGGACTGCTGGAGCTCGGCCCAGGTCTTGGCTATGGATCTCTGCATCTGCTTCCTTCAGTTACTGGATGAAGGCTCTCTGATGACAATTAGGGCAGTCACCAATCTGACTACAGGGGATGACCAGTTCAGGCACCCTTTCCATTATTGCTAGGAGTCTTAGTTGACTTCGGGGTTGGGGAAAAGCCTGGTGCCAGGGAAACTCCCAGGCATACAAAAGGATGACCCCAGGTAAAACTCCTACCAGGACTCGCATTTTCAGTGACGTTTTCAAGTGAGTCTCAGTTTCAAGAAGCCGAGCTTGTGGGCACTGTGGGTACCAATGATCTCATGAACGATGTTTGGCAGGTACCTAAGCAGAGGATCTGGGCACAGAATGGATCTTTATGAAAATCGAAACCTATTTAAAAATAATTGTTTCTTTGAGTGGAGCACCTGGCACCAAGCAATATAGTTATTTGATCAATATAGTAAGGCTAAATGCACCATAAAGATGACTAATGGAAAAATTTCCGTATTCAGTTCAAATAATAAGCATATATTGGGTGCCTACTACATAGTGGAAACATAGAACTTTATAGAAGCAATAGCGTGCTGGAGAGGTCTAAAACTGCTTATTGGATTGTTCTGCCCTCGTCCTTTTTATCTATTGATTATTCCTTAAGGTGGAATGCTCATAAATCATGCTATTTTTTTTTCAAGAATCTAAGACAAGAGTCTCCCTAGTCTTGCTATTTGAGAGACAGTAAAAAAGAAATTTGTTGGTACATTTTTGAGGAAGACTTTTTGGGTTCCTTGGGCTTTGTGTTCCTTAGAGGTCTAGGGTAGCATACAGGTTGTAAAACACAGGTATTTATCAGGGATGGAGGGTGTGAATTTAGAGAGTGTCAACCTAGCATAGTTGCCCAGTCTAACATGATCGATGGAGCAGGGCAAGGAAACCACATCAAATCCACTAGCTTTGCAGGAAGACTCTGGCAAAACAGGGTCCCAGTGAGACAGTGTCTTGAAGCAGCCATGGAAAATACCCATGAGTGACTTTGAGGTGGCGGCAGACCCTGTGAACAGAAGGCAGCTTCTCTACCCACAGTCTCCTTCCGCCATGGAAGGAGAAAAAAGATTTTCTACATCCTTCTGGCTACAAACCCCAAGCTTGTTTGGTCTAGATAAACATTTGCCGAGGAACCAAGGGACTTCATGTCGTTTTACATTCTTATTAGCAACAAATGTACCTGGAGCCTGGAACGGAAGAAGTGCATGGGAAGAAAATAGATTTTAATTTTTCACTGCATTGTTTAAGCAGTCTATCCATTACACATAGGGAAAAATAAGAGTTTTCCTGCATGCAGAACACCAAAATCACCACTCTCTCCCCCACCCCATCAAATGTGGATTTAGGGATTTATTCCATTCTTAAACACCGAAGGTAACTTACGTAAGTTAGGGGGAAAGCAAGAATTTGGTTGCTCAGATATAAACTAGAGAGTTAAGTGCAAAAAAAAGTGCAAGGAAAATTGAGCACTTTCAGGCATAGTTTTGGCACAAGCAATTCTAGTGTCGGAAATGCCTCATGATGCTTTGGCATTTGTTGAAATGTACGGATCATTTGCATTACAATGGTTCTTTTAAAATATTTTATTTTTATTTTATTTATTTTATACCTGAGTGTTTTGCTTGCATGCATGCATGTGTACCACATGTGTGCCAGAAGAGGCTTTGGATTCCCTGTAGGTGGGCTTAGAGATAGTTGTGAGTCATCGTGTGAATGCTGAGAACTGAACTCCTGTCCTCTAAAAGAGCAGCAAGTGCTCTTAACTGCTGAGCTACCTCTCCAACCCCCTTAAATTGCTCATTTTATGCTATGTGAATCTCACGCAGGTAGAAACAGAGGAAGAAATGTTCCCCGAATACTGAGCTCTCCCTAACTGTGAACACAAAAAGGCTTGTCTTTTCTTCCTTTCCTTCTGTTCCTACCAGTGTGGACACATCCAAGTCACTGCTTTCAAAGGCTTCGAGATAACATTTTCTTTCCTCCCCATTGATTGATTTTTCTGTTCCGTTGGGCAAATATTGATCTCCCTTCCCCTTGGCTCTGTATGTATGGTTAACTCTGTCTGGGCTTGAGTACTTTTGGTTGGGCCTAGTGTAAGGGTATGCCCGCTTTACTCTAGCAGACAGTAGGGAGACTAGTGTAAGGGTATGCCGGCTTTACTCTAGCAGACAGTACGGAGACTAGTGTAAGGGTATGCCGGCTTTACTCTAGCAGACAGTATGGAGACTGAAGGCTCCTTTCCTTGAAGGGTTTGATGAACTGTGTATCTGGAAACAGACTCCTCATTATGGGCTTCTGGGTATCATTCTTCATAGGAAGGTAGCAGGTGTTCTCAGAGCTGCTGTTTGTGAGGAATGAAGAAGAGAGGTGTCTACCTTACCCCAATTCTTGCACTGGCAGAAACACAGACCCTACAAATGCCCTATTCCCCAACTCAGTCACCATTGGTGAGACAAACCCCCGCCTTCGTGTCGCTTTTTCTTATTGGGAGAAAAACTCCCACTTTAAGTACCATGTTCCCTTCCAGGAGGTCTCATTAGCACTTGAGGCTGTAACCTGGGGAGAGTTGTTGACAAGGATCTCTGGGTTCACAGAGCTCAAGTCTGCCCAGAAGTGGTTGCCTGCTCCAGACTGCTTCTCTAGGAAGACATGGTAGCACCCATACTCGCACAGGGGACTTTTAATTTAATAACCCCACTCTTCCTATTCATCCAGCATTAGACATGTTGGCCCTTCTTTGAGTGCCTTTGACTGGTTCCTTCCTTCCTTCCTTCCTTCTTTCTTTCTTTCTTTTTTTTTTTTTTTTTTGGTTTGGTTTTTTGAGACAGAGTTTCTTTGCAGCTTTGGAACCTAACCTAGAACTAGCTCTTGTAGACCAGGCTGACCCCAAACTCACAGAGATCTGCCTGCCTCTGCCTCCCAAGTGCTGGGATTAAAGGCATGTGCCACCACTGCCTGGGGACCAGTTTATTTTCTTGTGGTGACTCAGTTAGCCAGTGCCCTTCACAGGGTCATCTAGTGTGGCTTGTGCACTGCATAGTCTATAAGGTTTAGGGCCTTGAATTTGATATCCTTTCCATCCAATATATGGTTTAGTGCAGGGACAACGTGGTTATGGTGAATTCTTAGGTACACATAACTAATATTTATTGTTAGTGCTCTACTGTAGAGTGGGACCAAACAAATCTTACCAGCATCAGCCTCGTAACGTAATGTTCTGAGTGATGGGGAGAGTGAAAAGTACCTACATAACAATAAAATTTCTAATAAAAGATTAGGTGTGTCGGTTTCATTGAATCCCAGGCAGCCCGGATGTCTGGCTAAGCCTTACTTCTGGGTGCGTCTGGAAGGGTGTATCTGGCAAGACTCACATGGAATTGGTAGACCGATGAACACAGACTGTTTTCTCCTAACTTGGTGTGTATCACCTGGTACTTTGAGGAACTGCAGAGAACCAAATGGCAGAGGAAGAAGAATTTGCTCTCTTTGTCTGACTCCTGAGCTGAGACATTGCCTTTCTTTTGCCCTGGGACTAGGTCCCATACCGTTGGTTCTCCTGGATCT